TCTGTTTTTATTGTGTTGTGCAACACACACAGACACGCACATCTACACAATATACAATTAGGGTACAAATACAATAACAACAACGTAAACAAAACAAACAAAAACATAATGAAAATAAGTGGCTGTGCATGCTAAGTACATGGATGGACGGACGGCTGGATGGACCAAAGTGGCAGATGAGTGGGCCAGCCAACCAAACGAAATATGTATAATTCCAAGTAAGTGAATGGCAGTGAGTGAATGGATAAATAAATGACTAAGTGAGTGAGTGAGTGAGTGACTGAACGAACGAGCCGACAAACAAGTGATTGTCTAGATGAAGCTAACCAAGTTGAGCAGCCACCATTACACGCCAGCAACAACAGCAACAGCGCCAACAACAAATTGCTTGTCCATTTTGCAATTACCCTGACCAGGCGAATGAGTGAAGTTAAGTGCTGCCCAGAGAGATCTTGCAAGGGTATGAATGCTCATTGAAGAGGCAATCTGCCGAGATGACTACAACTGCCTGCCTACTTCCTTAAGCCTGAATCGGTGTGTGTGTGTGTGTCTGTATTTTAACTTGGCCATAAATTCACGTAAATGGTGCCACAAATGAATCCCTGTTTTATGTTTCGTTGGTTGGTTTTATAAATGCCATTACTAAGGCTTGACTCAAAAGCGTCCGACAATATTACAATAAACATTTTTGCTGTAAATAATAAAAGATTATACGAAGGATGGTTGAGTCGAATCAGTTGTACCCTGCTATAAGTGCTATCAGGAGAAAATTGTTGATACCATCATAAATGGGGTGCATACAAGTTTAGTCACTTTGTTTGCAACACCTCGATATTTTGTTCGATCAGCATAAAATAAAAGTAGGTTTAATTGGTATTGAAAATGAGCTACATCGGTCCACGTTAAAATATACAGGGTGACATGAAAAAACTGCAACAAAGTCAAACGCCATAATTTTTACATTTTTTTTTTTTAATAAAACCATAACATATCGGATATAACATCACAGCTTACAATAAGTTTAGATTTATTCGAATTGGTCACCATTGCCACGAATAATGGTCTAGAAAAGGCCGATGAATGTTGCTCTGCGGTATTTGGGCCCATTCCCGGCGAAGCGCTTGCTTGAGGTGATCGACAATTTCGCGATAATATTCGGCATTTATTCTGATGCCATGGTTGATTAATACCAGTGGCGCTTGAGTTTGGTGACCAACCGAAGGTGCACATTTTCGGATGACCTCTTTGGCAAGTAAACACAAAACTGCTGGACAACGAATGTTTTCTCATCGGAGAAAACCAAATTTGGCAGTTCACCACTTTCGGCCAAGCGAAGCAACTCTTTAGCTCTTTTGAGTCTATTTTCTTTCTGCTGCGGCGTGAGTTCTTGCACTTTTTGGAATTACAATGGCTTTGCCCCGAGCTAATTTTTCAATATCTACCGAATGGAATATTGTCATATGTTCAGCTCAAGAGCCAGTTTTTAGCCTCTGCGACACTGGTTTCCATCAAGTCGCCTTGACGTCGGCCTACGCTCCCAGTATCACAGTAACGAGCAGTGATACGAGACCCAAGCGATTTATTCACATTTAAATGCTGGAGTGCTCTAACGATAGCCACTTCTGGGTTTCCAGCCAAATATAAAGAAATCACACTATCACGCTTGAATTCCATATAGCGGAACCTCCCGATATTTAGTATTTTGTCAATTTCTTGCGGAATTGTTTCAAAATCGTTATTTCTTTGGTTTTATACATATATACATAGGAAAATTGTTACCGTTTACACCAAAACGTTCTCAAAATCTTTCATTTTGAAGTTTAGCGAGGAGAATATTAGCAAAACCATTGCACAATGGACATACGTCCAAATTTCATTTTCAAAACTATTTCAACGTCCCCATGTGTAAAGCCTAGTAGCCAAATTTTCAAATTTAATCTCTATCCCTTCACCCAATACCAAATTTAGTAACATTGAATACGTATATCCAAAACAGTCTACATCTCGCCATAGTAGACACTAACTGTGATCGGAAATTTAGTACTATTTAGTACTTTTCATACTATTATAGTACAAATGTCCAAAACCTCTTTATACAACCCCTTTAGTACCTCTTGGTATTTTGGACCACACCTCCAAATTTCAACCTAATATACAACAGTTATTTAAATAATTTCAGGATTTCAGCTAAATTTTTTACCCAATATCAAACTTTAGTTCTTTTCGAACAATTATATTACCTCCAGATACCAACAGTTATCTAAATATCAAATTTCAGGATTTCAGTTCAATTTCTTACCCAATATCAAACCTTAGTACTTTTCGAACAATTATAGTACGCATTTACAAACCACCCTCTAAACCTCAACCTCAGATACCGACAGCGATATTTATATCAATTTTTAGAATTTTATCTATTTCGTTCACCCAATGTCCAATTTAGTACCACTTAGTAATTTTCGTACAATTATAGCTCGCATTGCCTAATCCATCCCCATATATCTAGGCTACACATGAACAGCGACCCCAATATCAAATTTCAGATTTCAAGCGCTATCTGTTCAACAAATAGCACATTGTACCAAATATAGTACTATTTAGTATATTTCTGCACTTATAGTACACGTTTCAAAAAACACCTCTTTATCACAAACAGGGATCCCAATACAAAATTTAAAAATTCCATCTTCATCCGTTCTCTCTAACCTAAACTGTTCCAAATGTAGTACTATTTAGTACCATTTCGCACACTTAGTACACATTGTCGAAACCACCTACATATACCAAACATATCTTCCAACTTTGATTCTCGTACCAAATTCAAAGTTTTTAGATCTATGCGTTCACATAATATCAAATGGTATCATTTTAAAACATTTCGTAACCGTAAAGTTTGAATTTCGAAAAATCATTAATAAATCAAAAAAAAAAAATCTATTCTAATTCCAAACTTCGAAATTCTAATTCATTAAGTTTGTCCCATACATTTGATTTGTAGTATTTTTATGTACTTTTCGTACTCTTTCCAAAAACCCAGCCTTATCATACCCCTAAGCACCAAGACTGACCCTCGTGCCAATAGTCTATCTTCAGCCGTTTCGCATGGTCGTTGATTCTACGTCAGTCAATTATTTCACTACTCTTTTCACTAAAAAGATATACAGATAAAGAGCTGAAACTATTTAAAAGTAAGCCTCGGATTCAAAAGACCTACCATTAAGTTACCCAGGCCGTTGACGTCATTCACCGACCTCATACATCGCGACTGACGAATGACTGCTGCCAAGACTAATGCTAGAGCTTTATTAATTTATATTGGGCCCGAATTGGGAGCACGACACTCAGCACATGTCCAGCATATAGATTAGGGCCAATGCTCCACTGATAACAAAATAGGGTCGTGTATATCCCATCCGACTTTTAAAGAAAACTTGTACAAGCTCCAAACACAACAGCAATCATAAGACACACAGCTATTTCTTGTAGGGTGACTATTAACGACAATGCATACATCATCTTACACACCGAGTCCTACCACGTACTCTTTCCGCTTGGTATTAAGACAACAATTCTTCTGAACGTTTGCATGTGGGTGTTGTTGTTGTTTGAAGCTGCTTATTACTCTCATAATGTTAAAATGCACTTCACTAATGACTAGCGAGATCAAGAATATGTGTACTTATAAGGAATGACTACTTTATATACCCTAATACTACGTATGGATACGTACATACGTATACAAAAGTTTTGGAAACTCCACCGGAGTTGTCCGTCTTTCTGTTGTAATCACCCTATTTTTCAAACGAATTGAGATAGAAGTCTGACATTTTTATACCCTACACCACAAGGTGGTCAGGGTATTATGTCTTTGTGCATTTGTTTGTAACAGGCAAGAGGAAACGAGATAGACCCACAGTTCCTTTTGATGATCTGCATAGAATCACATTCTGAGTCGATTTATGCATGTCCGTCCGTCCGTCTGTCCATGTATTTTTGTAAACAAAGTACAGTTCGCATTTATTGCCCTATCCAGATGCAATTTTGCACAAATCATTTGTTTGGCCCAAGGACGAACCCTATTGAATTTGGAGATATATCCTCGTCCGATTTGCCTTTTATTGTGCACCAAACGTGTAATATCAGTCCGAATAGTATGGAATATGGCACATACGATAAGGTTGGACCTGAAAATAAGTATGTAAAATTTGATAGAAATCGGTTCAGATATAGCTATAGCTCGCATATAAATTGTTCATCCGATTTGTTATTTTTGTCCTCCGCAGCCGTAATATGCACTATGTAACAGCAATATTTGGGGAAATATATCAAATACAGCTCAGAAATACCTTTGCTAAATTTTATCGATATCGGTTCAGATTTGGATATAGCTCCCATATATAACTTCGTCCGATTTACCTTTGATTGTGCACCAAACGTCTAATATTTGCCCAAATTGGATGAAATTTAGCACTTCCGACCGTGTTGAGTCTAGAAGCTAGTATGTCAAATTTGGTGAAGATCGGTTTAGATATAGCTATAGCTCCCATATATACTGTTTATCCGATTTGTCATATTTGTTACCCACAGCCGTAATATGCACTCCGTAACAACGATATTCAGGGAAATACATCAAATACAGTTCAGAAATATATTTGCCAAATTTTATCGAGATCGGTTCCGATTTGGATATAGCTCCCATATATATTTTTATCCGATTTCAAATTAATTGTGTACCAAATGGGCAATACAAGTCCAAATTTAAAAGATACAAAGGCTTCGGCATATTTAGTCCCTTGAACTTTAACTTATAATTATAATCATAACGTGTATGATTGAATTCTCACTTTTAATTGTTATGCGCAGCTCTACTAAATTAGCAAAGTGGTGTAGGGTATCAAAAAGTCGGCCCCGCCCGACTTTAAGACTTTCTTTACTGGTTTTGAATGTAACCATTCCGAATAGTTAATTATTTAATCATTGTTCATACACTTCTATTACAGATTGCTACAGAATCGTCATCATCCACGCAAATTGCCACTGTATCCCACCTGGTAGCTTTAGCTAATCAACAACGCAATGCCTCAGCGAAAACTCAACAGCAACAACAACAACAAACGTCATCATCATTATCCGCGTCAAGCAAATGTCTAACACAACCGGTGACAGTGGTGGAAAATCCGCTGGAGCCACTTAAAACGACAGCCTCAACACCTACAGATGTCGCGAATGTTGCGACAGTGTCGGCCAATGGCATGTCCTCAACTGTAGTCCACAACAATAGCCATAATCAGCAAGTTCATGCCACCGAAGTGCTGGCGGATCCACAATTGCAACAACAATTGGAACAAGTACAACAGCAAACACAAAACGAAGTTCCAGCCTCGGTTCAAGCAACGGTTGCGGCTGTCATTCAATCAGCGGGGACAGCGACGACAGCAGCCGCAACAACAACTGCAACATCAGCCACAACGGCTAATAAAACGATGGTGGGTGGAGGTGGTGGTGCTGGCACCAGTGCCTCCAATGCCACAACCATCACCTCCATATCAGCCTTATCACCGCAAACACCAAACGCCGCCACACCATCTGGGCCCGTGGCACCACATACCTCGCATACAACACCGGCTTCCGTCTCAGCTTCCAGTCAACAGGTGACACCCATACCACGACCCAAAAACCCCCAACAACAATTGTCCAGCATAGCCAATCCCATGCATAAGGTCACCAAACGGAAAGAAACTCTTGAAGCGAAACGAGAACGCAAAGCCGCCAAAACGTTGGCCATCATAACGGGTGCCTTTGTCGTCTGTTGGCTGCCGTTCTTTGTGATGGCCCTGCTGCTACCGCTCTGCGAAGCCTGTGAAATAAACGATGGCATAGCTTCGCTGTTTCTTTGGCTGGGCTATTTTAATTCGACACTGAATCCCGTCATCTACACAATCTTTAGTCCGGAATTTCGGCAGGCCTTTAAGCGAATCCTGTTTGGTGGCCACAGACCGGTTCATTATCGCAGCGGTAAATTATAAGAATAGATGGCGCAGCAAACCAGCCAGTTAAAGGTATGTATGGCGAAGGTGACTTAATATGTAATAAGGACGTTTATATTTGTAAGAGGTTTTTGTATTTTGAAGAAAATTATACTGTCTAGTAGAGATAAGTCGGAAAAAAATAATAAATATTTTGTGAGTCCTGCACAGTACTGAGATAAGGGATACTTAGAAGTAAACTGAAATTCTACAAAAGATTTCCAATTGACAGGCAAACTATTAGAGGAAATCCACATAGAATGCAATCGCTACGTAGTGTTCGACACATTTTCCAACTCAAAGAGATCTGCACTTCTAATGAACATACACATATTTCCGATACCACCTTCATGTGTCCAGAGTTCACATGAACAGCGACCCTAATACCAAATTTCGGATTTCCAGCATTATCTCTTCACCCAGTATCATTTGTTCTATTCGTGTACTTGTAGTACACATTTCCAAAAACCACCTCTTTGTCATAAACCTACCTCCAACAGGGATCCCAATACAAAATTTTAAAATATCAGCTTCAACTGAAAATCCTAATATTTACATTAGTACTAAGTCATGTGCAAAAATGGACAATATCGGTCCACATCATCAAGTACCTCCCCTGTAAAGGGTCAACATTTTGAATAATTTTAACTCTTATGAAATTTGATGTAAGTTTCCGATTGTTTCGAAATTACACACATCGCAATATTTGTCGGTCCATCCCTTGTGGTACCTCCCCCACAGAGGGTCAAATTTTTGAATATTCATAAAGCCCATAAAACGCGAAATTAACATTCGATTCCATTAAGACTGACACATCTCAATATTTCCAACAACACAAGATCTGTTATAAAGATGGTAGAGATCGGACCATTCCTTCTGGTACCTCCCACACAAGGGTCAAAGCTTTGAATAACCACATCGATCATAAAATCTGAAAAAAAAAACATCCGGTTCTCTTCATATTTCACGCATCTCAACATTTTCGGTAACACAAAATCTGTTATGAAGATGGAAGAGATCTGACCCTTCCTTCTAGTACCTCCCCCACAACCGAAACGATCACAAAATAGGAAATAATTATCCGGTGAAGAGAACCAGTATCTATACTAACACAAGATAAGCTGTGAAGATGGGATATATCGGTCCACTCCTTCTGGCGCCTCCCCCTCATAGGTTTTAAGATTTTGAAAAACATTTCTCTTCAAATTTCACACTTACAAATATTTTTGCTAGCAATAGATCGATAGTGAAGGTGATACATATCTGTGAACCCCTTCTGGTACCTATCCCACAAAGGGTGACAATTTTCAATGCTTTTATCTGTCATAACTTGCAAAACAAGTCGGCGATTCTTTACAACTTGCTTTATCTAAATATTTCTCTGAACCAGAAACCTGAGATAAATACGGAATTTATTAAATTTATTTTTCGAATAAAATTGGATATAAATGTTCGATTTTCTAGTAATTTAGGCTATACAAATATTTGTATATGTATTAGATGACGTATAAAAATGGAATACATCGGTCGACTGGTATCTGGTACCCCACGCGCCTTTTAACATTTTTTAAAAATTATCATATATCTCATATAAAGTGAAGGAAGTAGTCGACATAGTCCAAATCTGGCACATTGTAATATTCATATCATATTTATTTATGTCCGACACGGAAGCGACAATATTGGCACATTCCTTCGGAACCTACTCCATTGATGGTCAACAATTTGAATAATCATTATAGAAGTCAAAATATATTTAAATAATCGAACATTGGCTGAGGGTATAGACCTGTTGACAAAACCGGCTGATACTTTTACATTACAGGGTGAGATAAAAAAACTGCAACAAAGTCAAACGTCATAATTTTTAATTTGTTTTCTTTTTTTTAATTTTATATGTCACACGCTGCCTGAATGTTGCTCTGCGGTATTTTGGCACATTCCCGGCGAAGCGCTAGCTTGAGGTGATCGACACTTTAGTATTTTTAGTGTCATCCTGGCTTTTCAAAATACTCCATGAGTCCTGTTGGAATGTCTAAGGTCCGCGGCCAAAATGTTTGCGTGCCCAAGGCTTTAATACACCCTCCAGAATATTTTTGCGATAATATTCGGCATTTATGCTGATCGTGGCGATTAATACGAGCAGAGAGCGACCATCGGCTGTTATGGCGGCCGACACCATCACCATGTCCGTCGCTTGAGTTCTGGTGGCCAACGGAAGGTGCGCATTTTCAGCTGACCTCTTTGGCAAGTAAACACGATAATTTTGTTTGTTTACAAACCGCTGGACAACGAATGGTTTTCCCATCGGAGAAAACAAAATTCGGCAGTTCACCACCTTCGGCCAAGCGAAGCAACTTTTTAGCTCTTTTGAATCTATTTTCTTTCCGTTGCGGTGTAAGTTCTTTCACTTTTTGGAATTTCAATGGCCTTACCCCGAGCTCATGTTCGACTCACCTCTGGCTATCACAACTGATGAATTGGCTAAATTTGGCGCCTTTGTATTACATCAATAAACATTCGAATTCAACTTTGGCTTAAAAAAATTGGAAATTATTGAGCAACTAAATATTTTTATACCCTCCACCTTGGAAAGGAGGGTATATTAACTTTGTCATTCCGTTTGTAACATCCTTAAATATTCGTCTTAGACCCCATAAAGTATATATATTCATAATCAGCATAAAATTCTAAGTCGATTTAACTATGTCCGTCTGTCTGTCTGTCTGTCCGTCTGTCTGTCTGTTGAAATCACGATACAGCCCACATTATTTGACGTAGAGCGCCAAAATTTAGCAGAGCTATTTGCATTTGTCTAGGATGGTTGGTATTGAAAATGAGATATATCGGTCCACGTTCTGATATAGTCCCCATATAACGGTACATCCCGATATTCGGTATTTTGATGATTTATGCCACATTTTTTCACGGATTTGTCTGGAAATTTGTATTTGTAGGTCATAACGGGTACCTGAGCGTGTGGCAAAACATTGCATATATAGGTCCACGTTGTGGTATAGCCCCCATATAAAGGTACCTCCCGATATTCGGTATTTTAGTTTTTTTTTTGCCACATTTTTTTACGGATTTGTCTAAAAATTGGTATTTGTGGGTCATAATGGTTCCCAGCTCTGGTGGCGAAACATTGCATGTATGGTTCCATGATTTGGTATAGCCCCCATATAACGATACCTCCCGATATTCGGTAATTTGATGATTTTTGCAACCTTTTTTCACGGATTTGTCTGAAAATTGGTATTTGTGGGTCATAATGGGTTCCAACTCCGGTGGCGAAACATTGCATGTATGGGTCCATGTTTTGGTATAGCCCCCATATAACAGTACCTCCCGATATTCGGTATTTTTATGGTTTTTGCCACATTTTTTCACTGATTTGTCTAAAAATTGGTATTTGTGGGCATAATGGGTCCTAGTTCGTGTGGCGAAACATTGTAATTATAGGTCCACGTTTTGGTGTAGCCCCCATATAACGGTACCTCCCGATATTCGGCATTTTAATGGTTTTTGCCACATTTCTTCTAATGTTTCTTTTACCCTAAGGTGGAGGGTATTAAAAGTTTGGCCCGGCCGAACTTAATGTTTTTTTTACTTGTTTATCCTAAACATCTCGTATACATACATATAAATATAAGGAAAAGTTTTTTTTTTTTTTTTTTTTTTGTATAACAACGTACAAGCACTTCAGTCAACCGTCCATTTTAATTAACTTTAAACCACAAAACAACTCAATTCTTGGAATTATTCCAAAACTGCAAACATCTACCAAATGTTATTCAGGTTTCATCCAAATTAAAAAGTTCGGTTGACAAAGAAAAACATTTTTACAATTCAATTTAAGTAAATTAAAACTGAAAACTAATCGTTTTATGTAGAGCTTTAGTTTTGTACAAATCTACAATCTGCCGAAAAGTTCCAAATAGATTTCCACATAAATTCCATAGAAATTAAATTATTTAAATGAATATGTTTTGGAACTTTTCAACACAATAAACTATTAATAATATTCAAATGAGTTTTGCACTCGTCCTGCCTGAGTCTCTGGGTTTTCATTCGCACAACCAAGTGTTTCCCTGCTAAAGGATGAAATAATGTGACACTATTGCTGTTTTCAATATACGAGTATCTAACCTCAATAAATTGAATATATTAAAATACACATTGTTATAATGGCTGTGTGCATGTGTGTGTGTGAGAAAGAGCTTTTCTAAAACGCTTGTCAACATTTTGACGCACACAATATGTTAAACACAATGTTATCCTCTGAGATTGGGTAAACGATAACCTATTTCAAAAAATATAAAAGTAATAAATTGACATCAAATAAGTGGACCTTGCTTATCATCGTGCCAGCATCTAGGAAATCCCATCCCCCAAAATTCGAAAACAAAATTCAAAACGAACAACATGAATGAAATACTCAATAGCATGTAAATGAGAATATTGCAACAATTTTTTATGCCTGTCCGATATGTGTCACTTGAAGAGGGCATTGACAGCCACAAAACGACATCAATGGATTTGAACATTCGTCACATACAGGGTGTCCCAAAAACTGATATGGAAACACACTGTTTTCACTAAATGACCTATTTAAACCTAACAGGACTACAAATATCCATAACTGAGATAATTTGTCTATTAATGTGGATTAACAAGTTAAAATGTATCAGTCGGTATCAGATGTATACTCTCAGCCAATGTTCGATTATTTAAATATATTTTGACTTTTGCTATGATTATTCAAATTGTTGACCTTCCATGGAGAAGGTTCCAAAGGAATTGGACAATTTTGTTCATTTCATATTGGACCTTAATAAATATGATGTAAATAATTGCGACGTGCTAGGTTTGAACTATATTGGTTACTTCACTCAATTTATATGAGATATGTGGTAATTTTCAAATGTTAATATGTCCGTGAGGTAAAAGATAGTGTCGACAGAAGTATTTCATTTTCATACTTCATATAATACAGATAAAAATATTGTTATGGGCAAAAATACAAGAAAATC